GTTGAAGTCTGCCCCAATCACCACTCTCTCCCCTCTGGGAATACTCTCCATCACCTCATCTAACTCACTCCAGAATCTCTCCTTCTCTTCTAACTCACACCCTACTTGTGGAGCATAACCACTGACTACATTCAACATTACCCCTTCAATTTCCAACTTCAGACTGATCACCCTGTCTGACACTCTTTTCACCTCTAAAACATTTCTCAAGAGCTCCTCCTTCAGGATCACTCCTACCCCATTTCTTTTCCTATCCACACCATAATATAACAGTTTGTATCCCCCTCCGATGCTATGCGCTTTGCTACCCTTCCACCTGGTCTCCTGCACACACAGTATATCTACCTTCCTTCTCTCCAACATGTTCGCCAGCTCACTACCTTTCCCTGTCATTGTGCCAACGTTAAGAGTCCCTATTCTCAGACCTATACTCCTGCCTTTCCTCTTCTCTCTCTGTCTACAAATCCTTCTACCTCCTCTCCTTCTTCAACCAACAGTAGTCCAATTTCTGCCAGCTGCCTGTAGGTCAACAGCACTGGTGGCAGTCGTTGTTAACCCGGGCCTCGACTGATCCGGTATGGAATTCGCACTGATGATTCGCGTGTTTAAATTTGGCATGTTTTTACGCCGGATGCCCTTCCTGATGCAACCCTCTCTATTTATCTGGGCTTGGGACCAGCACAGAAATCACTTGCTTGCAACCCCTGTGGCTAGATTGTGGGTAAGACTGGAAATATAATTTTTAAAAAGATTTAATCAACATAAATACAGCAACCTTAGCAAAAAGGAAATCCAAAATGGACAATAAATCAAACAAGGAGATTTGAAAGAATCTGGATCAACAGACTGGAAACAGACCCCCCCAGGGGCCTGAATGGGAGATATGCCTGCACGTTGATGGCCTATGCTCCAAATTCTTTTTCCAAGAACCAGATTGAACTCCATTTTTCATTTTCCTAACTTTAACATAAATCTGACTTTAACCCGAACCCTAAAACCAAGTTTTAGCCTTAAAAATAACACGAGGTTGTGTGGACTGGCTAAAATGTCCCTAAACCAAGATGTTCTCACAACAATGGCATCAAAAAATAAAATTGGATCACAGTGTAATAAAAACGTGCATGCACACACATGTGTTTACATCACTTCAAGTGACATTACATTGATTTACATTCATTTCCTGGAGATTTACCCCAACCGTAACCACTACATGCCTAACATCTAACCAAGTCGTCACTCTAAGATCTAATGAGTTTATTATTTAGGGACTTACTTTTTGTCCCCATGATGATGTCAAGTTTCCACAATGTGACTGTGTAAACAAAAGATTTCAGTACATCCCCATAACTTGAATAATACCAGGCCACACACACACACACACACACACACACACACAGAATAAAGTGTAGCTAATTTTACCTGACAGATGGGGTTTGACCAATATGTTTTTTCCAGTGTCATAACGGACAGTAAGATAAACTCTATTGTCTCCCAGGGGAAATTTGTTTTGGATACTAGTGCCACTCCTGCAGCTGCACAGAAACACAAACCATACACTCAAACATCAATCCAATCTAACATACAACACAATCTATGTACAAGAAAGGCATTACCACAGCATGAGTCACATTAAAACCCAAATTAGCAAAAATTAAACAAGAGCTATATGCTATATAATTGACAAATTAAAACATAAGGATAAAATTAAAAAGCACATTACACTCAGTATTAACAGCTCAGTCCAGTTCTTGTTTAGAAGTCTTGTGGAAGTGGGAGAGAATGAGAGCTTTAAACAGTTAGGTTTACATTTTATGGCTCTGTAGCATCTCCCAGACGGTAACAGCTAAAAAGACAAAAAAGAGCCACTACAATGGATTTATACTAACAGTTGTCTTTACTGACCTCCAGTCATTTAACTTCTCACCTTGGTCTATTGATGCTCCAGGCTCCAGACAAGGCTCTTCCCTTCCCTCAGTTGCATCTCTTCCTTCCATATGGGAATGCATGAAAAGAAAGCACACAAGAGTGGAGGAACTGTATTTGCCAAACAGGGCATCTTCACTTACTCCCAGCAATTACTAATGAGACACAGCAAATGTAAATGTGTTGAAATAATTCAGCAACAAAAACAAGAAGACAACATGTCACCTATGAATCTATTGCCCCATCAGAGTGAGGCAAAATATGATGTGTATGGAAAGTCTGTCATGGTTTTCAGGCTCTGGCTGTTATTATAGGACTAATAAGAATAATAATCATGAGTTATGTGGCCAAGACTGTAAAGCTGTATATTTTTCCTGAACGAGCCCCAGTACACTTTGAACAGAAAATAAGAAGAAAATAAAAGTCTTTTGGCAGCTGAAGAAAAAGTAAGCAAGGTGTAGTTGTTTCAAATGTTTCATGATTCATTAATGAGTCAGGCAAGCGGTGCACAGTGCCTGGCCCAGACATGTAAGCCTGGGGTTGCCCAGGTATCTTGGAGTCCACAGTGAATATCAAGTGATTTGTTTTAATTAGAACATGCCTGCATTGTATTATGAATATCATTACATGATCAATACTAATTTTGATAAAAATGTTATCTCTCATAAACAGAGATAATCATCAGGGTTTTTGTGGGTCACATTAAAAGAAATGTAATAAGTACCATATAAAATTATGCTGAGGGCTACTCTGTTAGGCATACTATACGTGAAACCTTTCACAAGATTAAAAACATGCACACTAGGCTGATCTTAATATTAGTTGTGCAACTTTAGTGTTGTAGGAATGCTGTACTGAGCTAATGTTGGTAGCTAGCAGGTTACCAAGCTAGGAGTGTTGATACTACTGTAGGCTATCCAAAAGTGAACAGAGCACCTAACTTGAGGACTAGCTTTAAGGGAAATATTGAAAGCAAATTGAAAGTCATAATACAATGTAGGCATGTTCTGATTAAATGAATCACTTTATACTCACTGCAGAGGTTGACCCACCTGGGTGTCCCGTGTGGCCTACTTGTCTGGGCCGTGCACTGCCCACCACTTGCCTGGTCTGGCTGCTGTCCCAGCAGGAGAACAGGTCCACCACCCAGCTGTAACTTATTTTGTCTCTTGGACAAAAGCCTAAAAAAGTGAATGTCCAGGTTTTCCACCTGTCTTTAAACGCAGCACACTTTCATGCATCTAAGAGTGAGAACATCCTCTCAAAACCTTGCATGCAAACATATAATGATCCACATGTCAGCCGATCTGTGCGCGTGCAGCTAACACCCTGTAAAGTCATTTTAAAGAACTGCACACAAAATCTTTTTACACACATTTGTGGTCATTATGAGACACATTGTTTTACACATTTGTAAATTGGATTTTATTTGTAGATCAATAAACATGTTTGTGGCCTTTATGAGACGCTCAAATCAGTTTTTACATATTTGTAACTTTGGCTGTATTTGTAAATTGCTGAATATGTATTTGTAGCTAGTTATGATAGAATTTGCCCCCCATAGATTCTACACATATGAACTATTTGTATAATTACATTTTTAGGGCAACAGTTGGTGCCATTGTTCCTATTTTCAAAGATAGTATGTATTACTAATGTAATCAGCTGGGAATTCAGAAAACAGGTTCTTGATTGATGTTGTCTAGAAAAATCTTTTCCTCACTTCAAATTCATCTGGAAGTGTATAATAGTTATGGGTTGTTACCAGATCAGAACATGCTTGAAACCTTCAACTAGACAGGGCACTGAACCACTGTTTCTCAGTTTTAACTTGTACTCAGACACACTTGGCTCAGACTGGCAGCATAGTCCGTTAATGGTATGCGCTGAGACTTTGTTCTCCTACCTGCTCTGTGTGCTCTGTCCATCACAGATATCATTCTATCCTGCAGTTGGTCAAACCTTGGTATGATGAAGCCAATGACTATGTGTTCCCTTACCCTCCTATCTGCAATCCCAGCTGCCCCCTGCTCTGCTACGGGCCCACATGTACACACTACACACAGGTGAGGAAGGCCATCGTCACTGGTCTTTCAGCTATACATCTAAGACTAAGAGCAGTAGTCATATCTTTCTCACTGTATGTCAAAAAAGACTGTGGTGTTTTCATGGTCTTGTGTATATTTATTTTATTTAAACAGGCAAGAGAGAAGATTTTCTCTCTTACAATGTCTGAGCCTTCTTTGCCCAGAAGGCATAGATATTCAAACAGACAAAAACACTGTGTAACACAGTGTTACATTACTGTTACATACAGTGGTATTTTATTACTGTACTCCTCTTTTCAACCATGTAAAGCACTTTGTAAATCTGTTTTGAAAAATGCAGTATGAATAGTTATCATTCTGGTTGTTGTGTGTTTCAGATGGTGTGGGCATCCACCAAGAGACTAGGTTGTGCAGTGCAGACCTGCTACAACATGTTTGTATGGGGAGCTCTGTGGAAGGAAGCCACCTTTCTGGTCTGCAACTATTCACCTAAGTATGAGTTGACCCTCAGTGGGGACAGTGCAGAAAGCCCAAATGTAATGACATGACTACGACACAAATCTTTGTTTCTGCTCTGAGCCAGTGCACATGTGGGAGGAGAAGAACAAACGGGGATGTTTATTCAAAGAAGGGTCAAAGTGATTTGGGGGTATTTTGATGCTGAATAGGTCTGAGGTGTTGTTTGTTTATGGACCAGTTGCCAGAACAGTGACTGTGGTCCAGAAACAAACAGAGCTGGTTGGTTTTATCAACAAGAGCAAATCAAGTCTTTGGAGTAAATTGGTAGCAATAACAGAATAATAAGAAATGAATAATTTTAATATCAGTTGTATTTACACAAGTATCAAAATGTAACATTTAATGCAGTTAAAATATGAACAGGACAAATCTGTCAGCGTTATAAATATATATCAGTGACAGTTGTGGTATCTGCTGTCCACAGTGGCTTTATACTGTATGAAAAGCATCTCCTTCAGTTCATTAAACTCTGCAGCATCTGAAGGCAGCAGGACACACGTTGGTAAATGTGTAACCTCTGATTTGAGAAGTGCCACCTCAGAGAGCAGTGCCATTATGTACGGTTGTCCATCATGTTAACCATAATTAAATCACATGCAAGTGACATCAGGCTGCTACAGTGTAATCATACACACGTCTACACACATCAGACAGGTCGGCTATGATTCAATAAGATGCCGGTTTGTGTGGAAATGTTAGATTACTGAGGTTAGTTAATCCTGTCTATTACCTGTTTTCTAACTTTCTTTTTAAGCATGTAATGAATACACTATGATGTCAGCATTTACATTGATATAAAATTGAATTTGTGTCAGATTGATACAATCCTATAAGCACTTTCATCATGCAGTTTTTTAAAAATAATTTATTCCTGTCATTGCTGCACCAATTAACTGTTAAGAACACACCATCTGCCTCTGCCTGCAGCTTCGTGTTCAGGTGGTTCTGCTCTGCACCATCCAGAGAGCAAAATGGAGAGAGCTGTCATTGTCACTATGGTCATTGCACCTGTGTTATTATAAATGGTCCTAAATCTCTTCTAGCCATTGGTTATGATGTTGATTCTGCCTAGAGGGGATGATGGCGTTGCACCGACAGTTTTACCCAGAAATGAGAAACCTCAAGAACTAAACTCAACATATTAGTCAGGGACTGACAGTACATGTGTTCCATTAGTGCATGTGTTTCTTTTGCATTATAAGAACTGACTATGAGGTGTAATAAACTATTAATCAACGCGGCCTTTTTTAAAGATCTTGTTTTTTTAATCAACGTTGTTAACTGAAGAAATTACTATGATGCGTGTTAGAAAGGAGCTTTGCAGAGGAAAGAAACTGGCTAAATGCTGCCTCCTACATGGTCAAAATAAATGCCCATTTCCCAATGCTTTCTTGTAGCCTGAATATAAAGCTGTACATAAGATGTAGTGGTGCTGAAAGCTTGTGTTTGACTACATGATGTTCAGTACTATAGACCAAAGCCATTAAGAAAAATGAACCGTGACACCGAGGGGTCAAAAACGGCAGCAGGTCACGTTACTCATGGATCTTCAAATACTTCCAAACAGTTGATACATTGTTTTCTGTAGGGAACAGTGGGATTTATCAGCAATTACTTGTACAGCCTTGCAGACTAATTATTGAAATATTTGAGAGAGACAGTCAAAAAAGCTGTGTTTATTTATCACTGTTGATTTCAGCTTCTTTCTTTGGAAGATAGCAGCCAAGTCAGTGTAGCTTTATGGCGTTGCTGCTAATGTTTGGAACTATTCAATGTTCCTATGGTCTGCCTTTACTGCAAAAGCATAGAAAAGGCCTCATAGAGTCAATAGAGTTGTTGTCACTCTCCCTCTTAATCTACACTGCTATAGACTGCACCCTGGTCCTTTCTGGCCCATCAGAAATGAACAAAGGCTCATTGGGTGACCTGGCCCAGACCCCACACTGGGATGGGTAGCAGGGTCCTGCCACTGTTAGTGATGATACTTGCGTTTCTACCATGCAGGTGGTTATTTTCACACTAATTGATCGGCACACTCTGCTGATTCCATGTTCTACCTAATTTCCCATTTGCCATTGCAGTCTGTGTTATGGACATTTACTCATTCTACTATATAACAAATCTCAACTGAAATGTTGTTTGCCAATGTCACGCTGCTGCAGACAGTGGTGAACCCCACGGTGTGTCTGTGTGTGGCTATGTGCCTTAAGCTGTATTGAAGTGAAACTGATCGGATAATGTTGCTGCTTTTTTCTCTGCAGGGGAAACTGGATAGGAGAGGCTCCTTACAGAGTGGGAATTCCTTGTTCAGCCTGTCCGTCCAGCTACAGAGGTATCTGCAGCAACAACATGTGCTTTCCAGCTGTCCAGTCCAACTACATGTACTGGTTCAAGTGAAGAGAGGGAAAGGCCAGTTATAGTTGGGAAATGATGAATTATAATTCCTGTAATTGGATTACAAACTATCATAATTAATATTGTTAAACTGTCACATGACCGCTTATATAAAATGAATATAAAAATGAAAATGAACCACAAAAATCTTTAATTTGGGTGTGAGGATATTGCTGGTCCCATGGAAAGGATCCAGCCTGGCGTGTCCTGACAGTCCTGTCTGCTCTTTTCACTGCCTGTCCCGTACACCCTCACTTTCATTTTAGTCTGTAACACAGCAACAGTAGTCTTGGATGCTGTATTAATATTTGATGGCCCAGGATAACTAGGTTAACATTTACTATTGATATACTTAAATATTATCTATAACACCTAGTGTGTGTTACAACAGTACATGGTGCTAATAGTTTAATGTGCATGTCCTTGTTCTTCTTTTTGTCCCTTGGTTTTGTAACTGTTCGGTGTTATATGTTGTTTAAGAGCCAAATCAAATTTGTAGACCTTTGTTAGCAACAGGAGTGAAAACCAATCTCTATACAGTATGTAGCACAAGTTTCTTTTAGTTGTACTAAAACAATAACACTAGATGGTGACAACAAACCATCTAAATATGAACAAGATGGACCGTATGGAGAAGGGAGATGGAGTGGAAGGGATGTTGAAGGCTTGGAAATGGGCTTGAGAAAAAAGCGAAACCAAGATATGGAAAAGATTTTTATTAAGACTGCACTCCACTCTGGTAAACTGAGCAGAATCTGAACACAACAGTGAACTTTCCTGCTCAGAGCTGACAGAGTACTGTATATGTGATTATGTGCTTTGAAGTAACCAGTCAATGATAACACTGGACATTAGTATACAGAACAAACAATAAATCATTTTATGTGCAGCACACCATGACTATTGTATTCTGTACTATAAATGCACCGTTGCACCAAGTGAGATGCAGCGTCACAGGACCAGAGGCCTGCAGGGACAGCAGCTTAACTGTTTGCAGCAGCTATGGACAATCCAGTGGAAATACACTGCATTCTATATCTTAAAAGTTCCTGTCAATCTTAGAGGTATGGTTATAGCTTCACTGTGTTTAAAATAACCACAATATGCTGCAATTTTACAGGGGTTTTGTACCAGACAGTTTCTTGGCTGGGACCAGTGACTCCCTCATGTAGCTTCATATTTTTCCATCAGATGAGAGTAGTATCAATCTTTTCATCCATCTCTAAGAATGAGAGCAAATTAGTATTAGTAATTCCTAAAATGTTCAACTATTATTTAAAAAAAAAAGTATATTTAAGTCAAATAATGAAATCAGTTTGTGGCACAAAATAGTTTCACATTGTAGTAAAAGGGGCCATGGACATTGTTGCCAGATTTGGTAGCATTTTCACTCTCACTTTGTGTATCCTTTAGTTTCACATACATGTAGATTTTTACTTTTGCATTCTTGTGTTGCATATATGCTTACATTTTAAAATACACTTTACATACTACATATTTACATATACACTGCTTATAAATACTGAAAGGCAGGGATGCACCAATACTGGTGCCAGTATTGGGAATTCGATGCCGCACTCTAGTAATTGTACTCGTAAAACTCATCTGGAACTATGCCCGATACCGCTTATTGGCAGCATTACAGTAACCTCATGCTGGCTGAGCCAGTTGTTAGGCAGTGGAGAAGAAATTTCAGTGGTTTGTGGATTTTTTAAGGTGACAATGACAGAAGTAAAGCTGTGAGCTCTGATTCTCTGCTGTGTGTGTATGTGAGCACCCCTCCCCCCTCATCCCACATAGATACAGTACATTTTGCAGAGACATCAGCACTATGTGCAACAAAACCAACAGTAATGGAGAGAGTAGTTAATCAAACACTTGTTGAACAAGCTGAACACAGCAGCAAACTTGCAGAAAGGTCTTCACTCTCCACGGTCAAAATGCCTGGTCCCGTTCACCCACCAAACCCATACAGTGCTCGTTATGCTGATTGCAGTGAACTGTTGAGAACAAGAAAAAAACAAATGCTAAGTTTATGTAGTTAATGGCTGTGATGTTAAGAAGGAATTCAACAACACAGGATGCATCGAGTTCTTGTTATGAACACTATTCCAGGCATGTCACTCTGTAATTAATGGTATTCTGTGAATCCCGCGCCTCTTCCTGTACAGCTCAGCATTGATTAACCTTTAAATATTGTGTCACTGAACTGATCCTGTCATTGTGGGTATGTTACTTGACAGGGTCAGATGAAAAGATGCTGCTTGGCTCGATGAATGGAGCATTTACAAAATAACAAAAATGTCCTCAGATACCATTATGTATAAGGAAAACAACATATCACTGATTCCAAAGTAAATATGCATTTTACTAATTGTTGATAAAAATCTAGCCACAGGGGTTGCAAGCAAGTGATTTCTGTGCCGTCCCCAAGCCCGGATAAATAGAGAGGGTTGCATCAGGAAGGGCATCCAGTGTAAAAACATGCCAAATTTAAACATGCGAATCATCAGTGCAAATTCCATACTGGATCAGTCGAGGCCGTTGTTAACAGAGGAAAGGCAGGAGTATAGGTCTGAGAATAGGGACTCTTAACGTTGGCACAATGACAGGGAAAGGTAGAGAGCTGGTGAACGTGATGGAGAGAAGGAAGGTAGATATACTGTGTGTGCAGGAGACCAGGTGGAAGGGTAGCAAAGCATGTAGCATCGGAGGGGGATACAAACTGTTTTATTATGGTGTGGACAGGAAGAGAAATGGGGTAGGAGTGATCCTGAAGGAGGAGCTCGTGAAGAATGTTTTAGAGGTGAAAAGAGTGTCAGACAGGGTGATCAGTTTGAAGTTGAAAATTGAAGGGGTAATGTTGAATGTAGTCAGTGGTTATGCTCCACAAGTAGGGTGTGAGTTAGAAGAGAAGGAGAGATTCTGGAGTAAGTTAGATGAGGTGATAGAGAGTATTCCCAGAGGGGAGAGAGTGGTGATTGAGACAGAATTCAACAGGCACATTGGTGAGGGGAACAAAGGTGATGAGGAGGTAATGGGCAGGTTTGGTGTTAAGAGAAGGAACCTAGAAGGACAGATGGTGGTGGACTTTGCTAAGAGGATGGAAACGACTGTAGTTAACACCTATTTCCAGAAGAGGGAGGAACATACAGTGACATATAAGACGGGGGTAGGCGTACGCAGGTAGACTACATTCCATGTAGACGAGGCAATCTGAGAGAGATTAGTGACTGTAAAGTGGTGGTAGGAGAAAGTGTAGCCAGACAGCATCGGATGGTGGTGTGTGGGATGACTCTGGTGGTCAGGAAGAAGAGGAGAGGAAAGATAGAAAAGAAGACCAAGTGGTGGAAGTTGCAAGAGAAAGAATGTCATGAGACATTCAGACAGAAGCAGAGACAGGTTTTGGGTGGTCAGGAAGAACTTCCAGATGACTGGGAAACTACAGCAGAAGTGATCAGGGAGACGGGTAGGAAGGTGTTAGGTGTGCCATCTGGAAGGAGGAAAGTAGATAAGGAAACATGGTGATGAGATGAGGAAGTACAGGACAGCATTCAGAGGAAGAGGCTAGCTAAAAAGAAGTGGGATGTAGAAAGGACTGAAGACAGTAGACAGGATTACAAGAAATTGCAGC